TAGTATATTTCTTAACTATTCAGAGGCAAATGTCTGATCAATTCAGATAAGAGGTCTTAACCATTCAGACTCTGTATAATACTTAACCATTCAGAGGCAAATCTCTTAACCATTCAGACATCTGAACCATTAAGAAGCTGAAACAAACAGTCTGAACCATTAAGTGCTGAACCATTCAGACATCTGAACCATTAAGAGGTTGAAACAAACAGCCCCTTATAAACGATAAGACTTGTTAATGTGGATATTTTCACTAAATAATACTCTCGGTGAAAATAGTTTAACCGACAAGTGTCACGTACTTTACATTATTTACACTAAGACACTTCTAATCCATAAAAATTATTTATGTAGATATTTTCATGCAATGACAAGTTTTGTCGACGGAAATCATTTACACCCACAAGCATTATCCAAAGATTGTTTACACCCATAATCGTGCACAGAAATTGAATGTTTATTTATGAATATTTTTGTCTTGGTAGATACGAAGTGAGATTCCCTTAACAAGTAACACCCCTCTTTTAACATAGTGATGGCATGAAAAGATGTTTGAAAAAATAATTGACTTTAACACTATTTTTGGTTCAAGGAATTTGAGAGGGAAAGGAGAGAAAATGAGAAGGAAAACTTTTTTTCTTGTTTGGTTAGAGAAGTAGAAGGAAAAGAAAATGAGAAACAAAATGTATTAAGATGATGGAAAACCAAATTCCTCTCATTTTGGTGAGGAAATTAAGGGAAACCATTTTTTTTTCTTTTCCTTTCAAATTCCATGAACCAAACATATATAGTGTAAAGATTTATTATAGCTTGGGAAAATAGGAAACATCTATCTATGTAAAATACTGCACCAGGAGGTATGCTCATCGGCACACTATGACACTAGTGGGCGAGTTTTTTTAGTTTAAAGTACATGTTTTAGTCTTACCAAGATAGATTTATTCTAAATAAACATTTTTAGACTGTTGATATAAATATTTATTTAATATTTTTTTTATTAATAAGTTTATTGAGATGACCATTCATTGTAATATGTAGTACTCCGTATAATCCTAAAGCTTGGTTTAATCCTAAGGCCCTGTTTAGTATCAACGTTAGAAGTTAGCGTTAACATTTTGAAGAAACTGACGGTCTTTAGTGTTAGCGTGTTAAAAATTAATTTACATCATTAAAATTTTATCTAAAATACTAACGCTAATCAAAAATGTTGTTTCCAAACTAGAACTAGTTGGTTCAAAAAAAAACTATTCATTCCTTTTTTAGAACAAATTAAATGATTCATGTTATTAAATACTCCCTCCGTCCCACTATATTTATCCACTTTCATTTTTGCACACCATCCAATACACTTCTTTAATTCATTTTATTTTATAATTTGTATATTAAAAAATTATAGAAATTATATATTAATAATCTATATGTTAACACAAATCAAACAAGATCATGCATGACTATATTTAGGCTTACACATTGAGAGAATTTGATGAGTCAAAGTGCTTAGATAAGCAGTTCCAAAAGTCAAAAGTGGACGAATATAGTGGGACGGAGGTAGTATCTTTTTTAAACATAATTTTTTTTAAAAGAACGTACAGGAGTAAAAAAAAATGGAAATATCAAAATAGGAGTCATACGTCTTTTAAACTAAATAAGAGTATAATGACAGTGTGTTGTAAAAATATGTGTTGGCAGTGTGATGAAAAATTGATGACAATGTTATATGGCAGTGTAATTACTCAATTATCGATGGTCCGTGGTGGCATTCTAGTGGCCGGCGGTGACAAATGACAGTATGACAATGAGAGTGTGACATGCAATGTGACAATGCGGTGAGCGTGTCAATGTATATTTTAGTCTTAAAAGACTTAAAACTCCTATTTTGATATTTTCATAATTTTTTACTCTTATCTAAGAAATTTTCCTTTATGTTAATATTATACGGAGTAATAAAAAGTACAACCATGTTACACTTACACAAAAAAGTGTATCCCAAAGTTACACTATAGGTATACATTAATTTTTTATGGTTCACAATGACACAAAATGTAACTGCGTTAAAAAACTTGCATTAACATTTTATGTGTGTGTGAACTATAACCCTAGCATTACACTTACACAAAATGAAGGTACAAATGTATAAATTAAGATACAAATCATGGAGTTCATATAGCTTTATCCTTATTTTGATGATGTTATGGCGAAACGCTTTAATGAAGTAAGAGGAGTGACCGTATTAAGTTGCAACTTGCGAGTCATTGATGAATGTGGAAAAATATTCAACCAGAACCATCCTCCGCTTACCCACCCGAGGCCACATTGATGACTTTAGGAGTTTAGGCGACGAATTAAGATGATAATAAAAACTTAAGTGGTCATGTGACGATGCCAGGCTGCCCGGCGTAACGCTTTGACTTTCCAATTGAAGAATAAAACCATATTTCCTCTTTTTAAGCAAGTCCAAATTAAAAATGAAAAAGGGGGCAGGAAATTCAATGAATTTCTTACTAACAACATGTCATAGGCCCTGTTCCGTTCAACTTATTTTTTCTTATTCTTATTAAAATCAGATCAGATCAGATCAGACAAGATCAGATCAGAACAAATCAGATCAGAATGAGATCAGATAAGATAAGATCAGAATCAGATCAGATCCAATCAAATTTTATCAGATCTGACCAGATCCAATCAGATCAGACTAGATCCAATCAGATCAGACCAGAATAGATCCCATAAAGAATTATTATAATTATTGTTGTTGTTGTTGTTGTTGTTGTTATTATTATTATTATTATTATTATTATTATTCTTAAAAATGAAAAAGAATAAACTTTAAAAACAAATTAAATAGAAAACTGAGAAATTAATCTTTAATTATTAGAGGTCGAAAAAAATTATTTTTAAAATACATTGACAATGTCAATCTAATTCTACTTTTAAAATACATTTTTATTGCTATCTGTAATTTGAGTTTCTAAAGTTTTTATCTTTTATAACGATGAGATATTTTAATAAAAATATTATTATATATAAATTAAATATTTATTCTAATGTATGTATGAACTAATTATTAAAATTTTAAATTAATATTCTTATTTCACAAACAATAATCATAAAATAAAAAATGTTATTACATTAAAATATGAACAATTATTTTAATATATAAATTAACTAATTTTATTTAATTAAAAAATAATTATAAAATAAAAAATATTGATTATATTATAATATGAATTATCAATACAATTTTCAAACGTTATTATAAACTCAAATCAAATTATTGATTTGAATTTTAAATCAAATCATAATTAATCAGATCAGATCAATCAGATTAGATCAGATCAGATCGAAATAGACTAGATCAGATCAGATCCAATCAGATCAGATCAGATTAGATCCAATCAGATCGGATCACATCCAATCAGATTAGATCAGACCAGATCCAATCAGATCAGATCAGATCAAAAAAAATAAGTTGAACGGAACAGAGCCTAACTAAATTATGAAATTTAAAAATGCGTATTTATATAATTGCACAATACTCATTTGGTTGTTAAAATGACTTGTTATTTTGTTGATAACATAATGTGCAAAACATGATAAAAATTGGTGTACAAATGTGGTAAATTTTTTGGTCTAAGTGTAGTATGGTTGTAACTTTAATTAGTACTAAAATCGAATGATAATTTAGGAGCCGGGGAAAGAGGGGATATATATATACATCGCAGTAGCCAGTAGACCAAACGTGAAGGATGGGGAAGACTATATCCTAATTTTAACCCTTCCGTCCCACTTTAAGTTATCAATTTACTATTCGCAACTCATTTGAGAAAATAAAACAATCATTTAACATTTTTTTTTAAACTTTTGATATAAATTTTTTAAATATTTATACTCCCTCCGTCCCACTCTCTTTGTCCACTTACCTTTTGGCACACCATCCAATGTACTTCTTTAATCCATTTTATCTTGTAATTTGTATATTAAAAAATTATAGAAATTATATATTAATAATCATCTATATGTTAAGACAAATCAAACAAGATCACAAATGACTATATTTAGGCTTACACATTGAGAGAATTTGATGAGTCAAAGTGCTTAGATGAACAGTTCCAAAAGTCAAAAGTGGACAAATAGAGTGGGACGGAGGTAGTATTTTATTTTTAATTTTTTACTAACTTAAATAAACTAAATTAAAATTCATCTTAATAAAACCTGGTAAACTTTTTTGGGGGAGGGAGTGAAAAAATGTGCATCTATTCGTCGGTCGAGAACTCGAGTAATCCCAAAAAGCAACCAATTTTGGTTTTCGAGACATTCTGACCATCCAAGTCACAGAGATACTACAACTTTAAGATTAGCTATGTGTACGTGTACGGTATACTCTAACATTTATACCCCAATTTGTACCCCGCAGATTTGTACTAACATTTTGTGTTTGTGTAAAACTAATTTTTATTAATGCACCAACATTTGTGTCTGTGTAAATTTTTGTTAATACACCAACACTTGTGTAGGTGTAAACTATCAAAATATTTGTGCATAACTGTGGTGTACAAATGTGGTACATTTTTTGGTCTAAGTGTAGCAGGGTTGCAACTCTAATTAGTACTCCCTACTAAAATCGAATGATAATTTAGGAGCCGGGGAAAGAGGGGATATACTCCCTCCGTCCCGGAGTATTCGTCCAGTTTTAACTTTTGGAACTGTTCATCTAAGCACTTTGACTCATCAAATTCTCTCAATGTGTAAGTCTAAATATAGTCATATGTGATCTTGTTTGATTTGTCTTAACATATAGATTATTAATATATAATTTCTATAATTTTTTAATATAGAAATTACAAGATAAAATGAATTAAAGAAATGTATTGAATGGTGTGTAAAAATGAAAGTGGACAAATAATATGGGATTGAGGTAGTATATACATCGCAGTAGCCAGTAGACCAGACGTGAAGGCCGGGGAAGAGCAAATGAAAACCTACGACTATACGGTACGTACCTGTAATAATGGCAGTGAGGTTGGAGGCATCGATTCCCTGAGTGACCTGCTCTGCAGTGGAAGCTGATCCAAACCCGCTTGGCCCTGGAATCCCTGTTATCAACCTCAACATCTTCTTCTTCTTCTTTCTCTCACGTACTGAAGGGTCGTATGGTGATCAACCAAGAAATTAAAATTAACCAGAACAATCAGTTAAGCCCCTCTACTAATATGCGGGCGCTGGGAAAGGGAAATAGATCTCGGAGAGGAGCTGAGGTGGGAGAAATAATGGTGTATGGGTGCATTAAGTGAAAACCCCGGCCCACACCCAAACTCACCCTACCGTTTAATTTATTTTTTCTGATTTGTTTGATTTTTTGTTGTTTTGATATGATCTGACCTGATAGAATCTGATATTATATGGTTGGATCTGATCTGATTTGATCTGTTTGGATTTGATTTGATCTAATTGAATCTGATCTGATTCATTATGATTAGATTTCAAATTCAAATCAATAATTTGATCTGACTTTATAATAACTTCTGAAAACTGTAATGATTATTCATATTATAATATAATCAATATTTTTTATTTTATGATTATTTTTTAATGAAATAATATTAGTTAATTCATACGGAGTATATTAGAATAATCATTCAGAATAATATTTTTTCCGTCATTAATAATGCACTTTTTCCGTCACTTTCAACTGTACATCACGCTGTTTGAGTTGTACGAGAGTTGAAAGTTCAAAAAATGTCTTTAGTCATTATCACTCTATCACCTTTTCCTCACATTTTTCCCTTTAAAAAACAGCTTTCTATCTTCTTATACCAATCGAAGCACCCAAAACTTTCTCATCGTCCCTCACGAAATGGTCTAATTTTTTCCATTTGTCATATTCCTCAATCCTCACCTCGTCATTGCACACGAAAAACCTCTCTCCTCCATGCCATAATCTTCAAGGCTCATGACGCCGTTGTTTCTCTCCTCCTGACACCATCTCCTTTAACGCCTTTGTTGTTCATAGGGTGAGAGAGGTTATGCTTTGTGGTCTTGTATATTTAAGATACATGTATCCTTTCGATAGATTTATGAGCATTTCTGAGAGGATATGTGAGGAACCGTTATAGACCTAAGGGTAGTGTTATTGAAGGTATTTGATAGAAGAGCTTATTGAATTCTAAAGTGAATGTTTGGGTTTGGAGTGCACGATTGGGGTATCAAAGTCTCGTCATGATGGTTGAACCTGAGGGCAAAGGAACACTATGACATCACATCTTTCATCTTGGCTCTGATATACTCGATCTAGCATAACTCTATATTCTGCAACAAACTGATGGTGTTTGCCCATATTCAAAAGAGCACATGTCTCTAGTAAAACACGCAAATCCTAGTAATAGTGAAAGGTAGTTGATCCTCGAGCAAAATCATGCATTTATGAAATGGTTTCAAGAGCGTGTTTGTTGGCAAACATCACAGTCTCCAGATCTTGTCACAAAAATGTGAGATCATTAAACGTCACGATGACAAGAGTATAGTACGTACTGAATAATGGTGTGTCCTTAAATGCATCTTCATTACACAATCCTAAGGGTAAAGGTTCCACAACGGTCTGGTCATACAAAACATACTATGATGTGATTGATCATATTTGAAAATTTGAATATACCAACTTTACGATTTCTGTGTTTCGGTATAAATGGGTGGAAATCATACAGGGGGCACCTTCTTTTGTTATTAATTGAAAACAATCATTCTTCAATAACTCATTTGTATGTTTTTTAAGTTTCTACTTTTCATGTGTATTAGTAAAAATTAATTTATAAAATATACTTAGTATATAAAAACAAAACAAAAAATTGAAAACGACACCAGGAACAGTCTGAGAACCGGACCAAATGTCGTGACTAGTATAGACTATATAGAGCAGAGTAAGTCAGTGGGCGTTGCGTAGTTGACAAAGGCAAGGAACACCAAGGGGACCGTGTAAGACTCGAGTTCGATTCCTGCGAAATACACTGAAAGATAATTATGTTAAACATAGAGCTTTTGCAAGTATCAGGTGCAGACTTTACTCTTTGACACCAATATGCGATCAAAACTCAATATACTTTCTCAGTGACTCTCCGATTGAATCTGAGGGGCCCTTAGGGATGGGCTCATTTTTTTATGGAGCATGCTACATGTACCCCAATATTTGTACCTCATTTGTACACCAAAAGTATGCACCAATATTTTGATGGTTCACACTGACACAAGTGTTGGAACATTAACAAAAATTTACACTGACACAAAGTGTTGGTGTAATAATAAAAATTAGCATTACACTAACACAAAATGTTGGTGCATCCCTGCGGTGTGCAAAGTGAGGTACAAATTCTTAGGGTACAAATAACATTATCTTTGTCTTTAGAGTAAATTTCATAAAAGGTCCTCAGTTATATGCCGTTTTACATATTTAATCCCTACATATCAAATATTACTAATAATATGGATGAATTTTAATACGTAGTATTTATTTTCTTTGCAATTTCTTGAGACAAGCTTATTGTTTTGATTTTAGGTTCCACCAGGAACACTAATAATTGAGAGAGGAGTGATCATTTCAATTTTGGGTTTAGAGCTTCAAACTCAGCGACAAGTTTAGGAAAGAGTTCGAGAGGATGGAGTTAGCTTAATTGAATCGAGAGAGAAGTATAAATACACAATTTTATCCATGTTTTTAACAAAAACATTAACAAAGCATTATTCATAAAAAATAATATAATAATTGAAGACTAAATTAGCAATATTTGATATGTAGAGATTAAATATGAAAAAACAATTTATATTGGAGATAGTTTATAGAATTTACTCTTATTTTTATATAGACATAGTGGAGACTATCCAAACTGTAATTGGATTCGGAGAATTTTGTTTTATTCATTTATTTATTTATTTTGTAATTGGATATAATTTGGGGCAGCGGTAAAACAGTAGCCAGAGTCCCAGACCCTAATTGGAAGTTGGAACCAAGAAGAGATAGAGATGGTGGAAGCACGAAACGATGAAGAAGAATGCGCGTTACCCGTGAAAAGGAAACCCGAGACAGACCTTCTAGACATAGTTACTACTGAAAGCCTAAATGACGACTCTAGCAAGAAGGCCAAACACGAAAAATTTGTTGCTGGCGTTGTCTCTTCAAACCCCGATGTCAAATTGATCGCCGAAAAATCTGTTTCTGGCGTTGTCTGTACCGTAAATGATGAAGAAGACGAGGACGACGAAGAGGACTACCAGGCTGGAGAGGAAGCCGAGGTTGATGACGAGTTTTCTAGTGGAGAGGCTGAAAACGACCGAAAAGGGAAGGCAATAGCGAGTAACTACAAGGGGAAAGGGAAATTGATTGAGGAATCATTTGATGATTCTGAATCTGATTCCAGTTCATTTGAATGCGAATCGGGTACGGACAGCGAGAGTCTCTCTGACGACCCTCTTGCAGAGGTTGACTTGGACAATATCCTCCCCTCAAGGACACGGCAACGCAATGCTCTTCCTGGCTTTCGCATTTTTCCTGCTGCTGCAGGTAAAGCTCAACATGACAGTGATGGTGATGATCGTAGTGATGCTTAACTTAGTCTACTTTCTCTGTTTCAAAATGCGTATGTTCCCTTTGAAACCCTATGCACTTGTTTCCTAGACCTCTCCTTCCTTAGTTCTGTGCAACTTGGACGGCATTTTCCGATTGCTTAGATCATCAGAGTTATCTTGTGAATTTTAGCAAGTACCTGTTTGGTAATCTCTATATTTGCTCTTATGCATTTAATATTTAATTGCGTTGATGTGAGTAGAAAGATGCTATATTGAGCTCTTAAAATCAATTAGTCTTACGCATAAGTGATTCCTGTTTGTCCTTCATATTTGTATTTTTCGTACTATAGTTTTGTACCTCATATCTTTGTTTACCTTTGCTGCTCAATAACTTCGGGTGTGTTTGGTAACTTTGGTTCTTTGGGGGGGGGGGGG